AGAAGTTGCGGTAAGTTGTCCATTTTACAAAAGTACGGATTTGTAGTGACCGGTTTGGTAATGTCACAGCGTGCTGAAATATTTGTGACGTCATCCAGGGTGCCAAACAAGGCAGAAATTACCATGTTGAGCGTTGCTCGGTCGCCGTTTCTGGTTGCGATGTTGCAGGTTGCACGTGACGTTGATGAGTACCGTTGCTGGTGGTCTGACGAGACATTTATATGTGTGTGTGATCTATGTGTTGGTGTCTGTAAGGGGACCGGTATAGTGGTCAGCCCACGTGCACTTTGTGTGAGGTGGGGAATGTGCATGAAATTCCGCTGAAATGACCGGAAAAAAAGATGTTTAAAAAGAAAAAACTATAAAGCTGAGAGAAAAGTCGCGGCCAAAAATATCTTTGGTGACTCGTAGTTGTAGATGTCATTATCCACCCGATGAAATTCTCGGAAAATACATTAATGAACCTGATTCGCAAAAACATCTACGGGAGTTACGTCATGCCCAACGATGTAAAATTTCGTGCTTGACAGCAAACATCGGTGAAAACATCATATAAGACATTATTCGGTTTTCCTCATAACGTTTCAAAGAACTCTGAAATTATGCTGATACACCTCATACAATAAAACGCTGGATAACAATGGCGATGGTATGAACCTTGTTCACCCATAGCCAAAATAACTTTTTGACAACGCTATACCGTTGGCCGAACCATTTGTTGTCACGTGCGATTTGCAGTCCATGTTTTAGCCCTCTCGCAACTTTTCCCCGGCTTGTCAAAGGCGGTGCGGGTAGGTCGCGACTCTGTTAATCCGGTTATCCTCCACACAGCGGGGATACACCCGCCGTCGGTAGCTTGTGTACCTACAAGATTTAACCCGCTTGAGCAGCATGTGTTAGCTCCCCTTCTCTTACATTTTCTACGACATCCTGTTTGAGTCGACGGTACCAAACACTCCCAAATACGGGCTACACACTAACAAACGGCCGAGCGACAAGCCGGAATTTCTGCGCCCATCTGTCCGAAAATCCCAGCAGTGGCTCGGGCTATAAATTAATACGATGGCGCCTCCCTGGCGGCGTACGAACCCGCACGCTATGAGCACTGCGCCTTGCCGCTACGATCACCCCAACTGGTGTCGTTCGTATAGGCATTCCTGGCATGTTATAGGAACGGCCTTGCGTGACTCCAGTGGCGACAGCCAGAGCACCCGCCATCGACAGTAGGGGAGCTTCGTCGAACCGCTAATGTGGGCGCGATGGTGTCGATTCGGCGGTGTCCGCATCGCTGGCAACCAGTTATCGGATAGACTGCTGTGTAAAAACGCACCCGAGCCGATACTACAGCGACCATCCCGGCAGGCGAGTGTTGCTTGTAACGGCGCGCCGCGCCACCTGCAGTCTGGACGCTCGGTAGATGTTCGCTTTCATGCTGTACTGAGCCGATGGAATGACTCCTGGGAAACTATTGGCTGTTTGCAGCCAAATTCGGAAGCGCGTGATAGGTACAAGCGGCTTTCGATCAACAATGGAGCTTGCTTGCTGCCAAGGCTGGCGAGTAGTTGAAACCATTACAACGACAGCTGTCAGCGTTTGTGTCGCAGTTGGGGCATTCCGGGACGTTCCAGCGGCTAAAGGAGATTGTAAATAATCCATCACCCCCGCACGGCCCACAGACTGGACAATATCGCACCGACCAGTGTATTAACTGCCGGATCTGGCAGCCAGCTGTTGTCTTAGTTCTGACGTCACTGACGGATGCAGTCGAGACTGAAGAGGCGGGAATGTGGCAAGGAATGATGATCTGTGCTCTTCCCAGACAATGTGAGGCCTTGTGTTAAGAAATTAAGAAATTATGTTAAGAAATTAGCCATTAAGGTATTGCTTATCATGTGAAACACATTGGAACTGATGCGCATCGTTGTGAATACCAGCGTTTTTGTTTATTCGGTACCATTTCCAAAAGAAAAAAATGCATTTCTTTCTAAATATTTCAGGGATGCTAAGCCTGTCACACTTATTCAAACGTGCTTGAATGAAAACTTAAATTGGATGGATTTCAGGTTACGGCCACAAACTTTATTTTCGCCATGTTAGATAAGATAACAATGATAATAATTAACAGAAATGCGTGTATTCCCTTTTGGTGACTGCAGAGTGCGGATATATTGTTGAGTTGTTCTGAAAACGAACCCGGATTGAGCTCACCTCCACAGCTAACGAAACTACTCCCTGGGACTCAAGCCCGTTTCTTTCATCTTCATCATGTGACATAACCCACGCCATTCAACGATCTAACCATCCCCGCACGTATCATTTACAGCTAACACAGATACGCGATTGTTACATATTGTTGAAAAAGCTGACGACTGATGCCGTAGCCTGTTCATCCCCGTAATGCAATCTGAGTCTCTATACCTTGTCACTGATTGAATAGGATCGTTATATCACGCTTCGCCATTTTGCTATTAGTGCTTGGTCTCATGCTTCTTCTGTCTGGGGAATACCACGTCCAAAACGCGATATGGATGGCCAACGGGAGACGTGTAATGTAATGTGATGTGGTTTGTAGTAAATGAGACTTCTGCGTAATGGATTCCAGGTGTGGGATCTTTGTCTGTCTGTTTGTCTGTCTGTCTGTCCTTTGTCTGTCTGCCGATCTGTCTGTCTGTCTGTCTGCATGTCCGTCTGTCGGTCGGTCTGTCTGTCTGTTGTCTGTCTGTCTGTCTGTCTGTCTGTCTGTCTGTCTGTCTGTCTGTCTCTCTCTCTCTCTCTCTCTCTCTCTCTCTCTCTCTCTCTCTCTCTCTCTCTCTCTCTCTCTCTCTCTCTCTCTCTCTCTCTCTCTCTCTCTCTCTCTCTCTCTCTCTCTCTCTCTCTCTCTCTCTCTCTCTCTCTCTCTCTCTCGCTTCTCTTATTCTGGTCATCTGCCTCACCAAAGCTGGCTTATCCTTATGTTCATGCAAGCGACAGCTCAGTTGATCTCGCTGAATTTGTGCATAACTGTGTGTCTATTTATTAGCCGGCTTGAAAGATGTCAAACTGGACCTTCGAGAACGCTACTTCTAATACGATTTCACACACTGTAGCGAATACCAAATTCACTTAGGCTGCTTAGCAATTCCTCTATGTAGATTATATTGTTGGATATCGTTTGGATGCTGAGAAGTAAAACATACACGCCTACCTATAGCTTATGTCGCTTTTTTTGTCTTTTTCTGCCACGTTGCTTGTGTCTGTAAACGGCCACAAGTAGTAAATACGACCTACTAACTATAATGCATCTTTACGGGATCCTTCCATGGCACTTCACGACTCGCGATTTGTATGCTAGCAACACGTGCCATATAGATAGAGTGCTTGACGTGACCGTGAGTAGCGTGCCGTGTCTACACTAATTCAGTCGTATATTTTTATCACATATCATGCTCATTATCATAACTTAAAAAAAAAACAAACCAACTGTTGTGGACTGGCTGTGAATTGGGAGCTCGTAACCTCAGCAATAAAACGCAGGGCCGACGTTCTCGAGAGCAACTTTGACTTAGGCTGGGGGTGGGCAGCTCAATTGAAGAAGAAAAAAAAAACGTCCGCATCGCTTAGTTTCGCCAGCGCATGTTGTTCAAGACACCCACTGTTTTGCCTTTCATTGCAGAGTACACTCATGAGTGATTTGGATTACGTTCCTTCATATATTGACAATGCAGTTAGAAAACGGCCATGACGATGTTATTTACCTCAGTCCCGTCGTTTCCATCCTCAGGATACTCAAAAGTCAAATCCTTCTCAACGCCTCCACCCCCTGTTCCGGGCTGGACGGTCACCTTTACCCCATGCGGGTAGCTCCACCCCAGGAGTAGCCGGGTGCGCTGACCGTCAGCCCGCGAGTTGCAGTGGGGGGGGGGGGGCGTTAAACGGCCCCACTTTTTTCGCCGGGCCATAGCATAAAAATGGCGCGCCGCAGGCGCGCCAAATTTTTGGTACCTCTAGGGAATTGATTGAAGTTCATTGTGACATTGTTTCAAAAAAATTGGTCGGAAAATTTTTGAGATATCGAGGTTTTAATGACGTCATGATTTCTGAGTTTTCGACCAAAAACGGCATATGTTCAAAAACTCATATAAAATCACAGAATAGACATACAGACATGCCGTAAACGCCATTAGACTGCCAATACCATGAACAATCTAATGGCTATCTTCGATTATTGATTGTGGTTCCGCATTTTCCAAAATCTTGAACTGAATCTTGGTAATTTCTCGTAACTACTTCACGACCATGATACATGCATTTCTTAAATTGGACTTTTTGAGCCAAACACGTACACATATGATAAAATGATGTCACCATCGTGTTCTACGCCCCAAATTACCCATAAAACATGTGTCACAGGCTGCGAATATCAGTTTGGATTTTCGGGGATATGTGCCTACCCGGTTGACCTGACCTTGACCCTGACCTATGCTTGACTGACCCCTACATTGAGCTGACACTCTTGTAGGCCTTATATGAAGGATTGTGCACCGTTTTGACAGAGTTTATGACGAGAGGCGCCCATTGCAAAGTCCTGAAGTCCATGCTACTGAAAGCCCGATTTCAGGTGTTTGACCTGACCTTGACCCGACCTGTGACCTCAAAATTCAATTTTAAAGTACTCATCTGAAGCGTCTCGTCATTTTCTTTCGTTTGCTGCCTCGTGCGTTTCGCTGCGCCTATTGGTTCTCGAGTTATCGGCTGGGGGCGTTTAACGCCCCCCCCCCTTCCCAGCAAACGGTGGGTGGCGAAATACCCCAGCAACTGCCGGGTAAGGGGCTAGGTGGCCTGTCCTCGTGATTGGCTCAGCCCCGGCGGAGCACCAGGATGCCCATCCAGACCAATGTCTCCCCCTAAATCTTATCATTCTTCCGGCTCTGAAATAGTCTCGCTAGACAGAAAGAGCCTAACCCAACAAAACAAAACAAACAAAGATGTTATTTATGACGTTTTATCCTCTTATCTTACAGTGATTCGACGGCGACTGCCCAGTCACTCCTGCCTTCTGGGCAAGATCCTGCTGTTGGATGGCCAGTACTCGACACTGGGTGAGGGGCCCGATGACATCGAGACCATGGAGTTCGGCTACGAACGGAACAGCGGAGAGTGGAGCAAGGCGGCGCCCTGCCATCTGTGAGTATATTTTACATATTTTTTTTTTTGGGGGGGGGCGCAGTTTATTTCCCGGGACCTAGAGCGTCGCCGATGACCACTGTAGTCCAGGCGCCCAAAATCCTCCCCCTCCCCCCCCCCCCCCCACCCCGGGACCTAGAGCGTTGTCTGACCGTGATCTAGTCATATACCTGAAACCTGTCTCGTGGGGGTATAAGGAACAAATATAATATTAAGCACATTTTTAGTAGTTACAAATGGATTCATGTATTCCTTCGCCTGCCTTGCTTCATCTTTTGACATTCACTTGCAATAAATGCATGCTTGCAACATGTAAACAAATCTGATGAATGACGTTTTTCTCTGCCCGAAATTAACGCTTCATCACTTACCTTATTAGCTTAGAGCACGTCTCTATAAATGTACGTACGTGAATATGAAATAATATTTTCGGAGTTTCTTGAGTGATATATATTGAAAAATTGATAGCAAATATTTCGATACTCGTAGTGGTACCTTTTTCAATGCGAGTGATGCACAGTGCGAGCTTTGTTAAGCACAACAAAATAACACAATTCCCATGCAATCGGTGGAGCTGGGTCCTCCAGTGCAGATAAAATAACCTATACGATACCGCCTTCCTAAGAACTTATACAATATCACTGTCTATCACGGAATTTTAATTAAATATTTAGACAATCAGCGCTAATTTAATAAAAAGAGCGTCACTTCAGTTACAGGTAAGTCACACTTACACAAGGTGACCCCCCCCCCCCCCCTCGCGTGTTCGTTCAGCGTGCCAACCACTATTTTTTTAGCACAATGTCCCATATTGGGCTCAGCTGGACGCCACCGCTGTCGAGATTCATTGACGGGCGCAGCTGTCGGATCTCGATGGCCTCCCTGATTTTACGTTTTTTCCAGTGGCGTTCGATGGCTAGGGTTCTCGCCTCGAACGGGTTCAAGTCACCGCCACAGGTACAAAAGTGTCTGGCCGTCGCTGACGTATCGCAGCGTGCGTGCTTGATATCGGCGGTGTGCTCCTTCAATCTGTCCTGTTTTGGTCGCCCTGACTCTCCGATATAGCTGGAGCCGCACGAGCACTTTATCTCATATACGGCCCCTTTCTTCTTGCTCTGCTCCACGGGATCTTTGACGTTAACCAGGTGACCCCTCAATCGCTTGGATTTGTGAGCTACCTTGATTCTGTGTGGCCTGAGAACCTTGGCTATCCTTTCGCTGAGACCTGGGACGTAGGGCACTGCCGCATAGGCTTCTTGGTCTCTGGCGGCGGCTTCCCCCTGTACGGTCTGGCTGGCGTCACGGCGTCTCATAGCCCTCTTGATAAACGGCTCCGGATAGCCATTGGCTACGAACACATCCCGTATCTTGCTCTTCTCCTCCTTCACACTTGACATGTCGCTGCAGACACGTCTTGCTCTGGCTTCCATGCATCTTATTAGACCAGCTTTCATGGCCGCGGGGTGGCTCGAGTTGTACTTCAGGTACACGTTTGATGCGGTCGCCTTCCGGTAGACTGAGGTGCCCAGCCGACCTTCTGACCTCTGGACAAGAACGTCCAAAAACGGCAGTTTCTGGTCCACCTCCCGCTCCAGTGAAAACTGGATACTTGGGCAGAAAGTCAGGAGACCTATATCGGACTATATCGGAGACTATATCTATATCGGAGACTATATCGGTGACTATATCGGAGAGTCAGGGCGACCAAAACAGGACAGATTGAAGGAGCACACCGCCGATATCAAGCACGCACGCTGCGATACGTCAGCGACGGCCAGACACTTTTGTACCTGTGGCGGTGACTTGAACCCGTTCGAGGCGAGAACCCTAGCCATCGAACGCCACTGGAAAAAACGTAAAATCAGGGAGGCCATCGAGATCCGACAGCTGCGCCCGTCAATGAATCTCGACAGCGGTGGCGTCCAGCTGAGCCCAATATGGGACATTGTGCTAAAAAAATAGTGGTTGGCACGCTGAACGAACACGCGAGGGGGGGGGGGGTCACCTTGTGTAAGTGTGACTTACCTGTAACTGAAGTGACGCTCTTTTTATTAAATTAGCGCTGATTGTCTAAATATTTAATTAAAATTCCGTGATAGACAGTGATATTGTATAAGTTCTTAGGAAGGCGGTATCGTATAGGTTATTTTATCTGCACTGGAGGACCCAGCTCCACCGATTGCATGGGAATTGTGTTATTTTGTTGTGCTTAACAAAGCTCGCACTGTGCATCACTCGCATTGAAAAAGGTACCACTACGAGTATCGAAATATTTGCTATCAATTTTTCAATATATATCACTCAAGAAACTCCGAAAATATTATTTCATATTCATTATAACTTGAGGAAAAGGTAACATGACTCTTAAGTCATACATGTACGTACGTGCGCAACCGCAGGCACTAGCACGTTTTTTCTCTGTTGATAAAATCATCTATCAATTAGTAACGGTTTGTTGCGCCATTTCTCGCGTCTGCTCAATGCTTTTAATGGTTATACCAGGTGGATTAAAGCATCATTTTAAAATGACACTTCTCTCAACACTTAATCCGCCTGTCTGGTCTACGAGATAACAAGCTCGTTTATCCGTGTGCTTGCAACAGGAACATCGGTTCCTGGTAACGTCTCAACCAGCCCACACTGATTATGTTTCCAAACCCCTTCAATACCGTCTAATCCTCCCACGTCTTCGTTTGGTACGAACTAGATTAGCTGGTCATTTCAAGAGCTTCAATCAGACGCTTGACGCCCCCAGTACGTTCTGGTCCGTTCAGATACTCTGAGGAAACTAGGCCAGACACTTGAGTAGACTCTGGTACGAGCGACACCTGGCGATGGGCCGCTTTGAAGGAGGAATTCGTATCAGAGCCATCGGTGATAGATTTGGATCGGTCTCAAAGCGGCTCGGTTTTACCTGCACCTGGGACGGAAACGCTCTGGGGCAAATTCACACCGATCGGATGTCGAATAGGTGTGAAAAAAGGTGGCAAAGCTGCCCCCGTGCGGCAAGCGTGACACCTGGATATTGAGCCGTGAACAATGTATGGAATTACCACGTAAAAACAGCGTAACATGGTGACGCGAGACTCGCCTTTATTTTTGATCGATAGTCTTGAGAGTTTAGGTACCGATTTCCGTGGGCAGGTCCTAGTGGGTCCTAGTCCATACTGACCGATATTCAGTTTACGTAAGGCGAGAAGTCAATTTAAATGACTCTAAACAGTGGCCGAAAGATCCAACTATCACGGCAGAAAAAGAGTGCACTTGTTCATAAATGCCACGGATAGACAGTTACAACAAATTTCCGCGTTAAATGTCAATAACTTACCCGATATAGCCTATGAGCAGTGGAAATCAAATAAACGTTTGATATTTCGCACAGCTCTGGGACGAGCCGGGGGAAAAAATCCAACCCACGTAGCCTCTCAGCCTGTCGCAAAGTTTTCAGAAAATATCGTACTCGTCTATCTCTGCCTCCCTAGTGGGTACATCACTGTCTCATACTTGTTATCGTCCCTGTCATGCGACCATATCATGCTGTCAGAACAGAAATCCACGGAGGAATGCCAAATCCAAAACAGAATTCCATTGGGATGCAGCGTCGACCATAAGTCATCTAATTGTATTGAGAGAATTTTCCACGGGGACGTCGGACGTGGGCTGAACTTTGCCTTATAAAGCTGATTCATACGTTGTGCTGGGTATCTATCTTCATTTTCTCATAATATGATCTGGATAGAACAATTACATACTGATTTTGTCCCAACCTGAAAAAAAAAACAAAAAGCGTAGATGTTTATATATTAGCTTAAATCAAGCATTATCAAAGTTGTTGGGAATCACAAGCAAAGGTCTTGTAAAAAGACACATACTCCCGATCTTTCCGAGAAGCTCTTGCTCAATTAGCGCAAAATGAGTCGCACCAAACTTCCACCCTCGACCTATCGTTCATAAAAAGCGATAGGTTTGGCGCGGGCAAACCTTTGTCTGCTGTCCCATAAAACAGACTATCGTCGTGCTTGTCTATCTGTCCGTCTGTTTCGCCTGTCTGTCTGTCTGTCTCGTATGTCCGTCTACCTGCCTGTCTTGTTGTCCTGTCTGCCCTGTCTGTCGTGTCTATCTTGTCTTTCTGTCTTGTCTGGCTATCCTCTGACAATCATCCTCTCCTCTTCGACAGAATGTCTGTGGCGCACATCCGACAGCACGAATGGCTGAGCGGGTGGCTGGCCGAGCTCTTCCCGGGGCGACTGGTACGGCGTGTCTACCCCTCACCAGTCTCCGGCCGCTCCTGGCCCAAGACGCGTCGTCAACTGGACCGCGCCGCACGTATTCATACAGCTAGTGGTGCGGCGGACGCGTATGTTGTCCTCTTCCTCAGTTCGGAAGAGGATCTTCAAAGCTAGAGGCTGCTGCAGGAGAGGAAGAGAGAGACACTGAGCTCTGGTGTGCTATGCAGAGCAGGCGCTGGGGCTGACTGTTGAAACAGTCACCGGCTATTTATTTGAGATAACGGGTATTTGTGCATCCAGTGAAGACAAGATGATGTTCCAGAAACCCGTTCTAAGTGTTGCTGTTCATGGCGCGATCCTCAGAGTGGACTGGTGGTATCCTACATGTAGCAGATATATGGAGAGAATAGTGTAAGAGATTTTATTGTTCCTGCCAATGGCGCATCTGCTGTATAAATCGCCCCTACGTCCGAGGTAGATCAGTTACTTGACTTGCAATACTAGCATGGGGTGCTGCGTTTTTTTTTATTGCAACTCTTTAAAAACATCTGTTAAGTTATCTGTGGTTATTGTCCAGCTTCCTGAGTTCCAAGTTTCCATAGAAAGTACAACATGCTGTCTTCAATAACACCCAGCTCAGTTCCTCTGAAGCCATTTAGCCCAAAGGCGTCAGACGCCTTTTGAGTCACAGCATAGAGATAAATTTAGTTGAAACATTCGTGAAAGACTGGCTCTTAGCGAAGCTTGTAAACGAGCCTTGAACTTTGCCCTAATCGCGAATCGTGATCCCATGGGACGGATGGTTTTGCTAACTTCTAAATGAGCAACGGCCATTCACTGGCCGTTATGCTCAGTTATTTCTGCTGCCTAAGTCATACCAAAATGTTGTTTCGAATTATTATATTCAACCAGTAGCTATCTGTGGAGACTTTTGATAATATTTGCAGCAGCTTTTGAAGCCTGGATTATATGTCTTGCTGAGCTTGAACACCACAATAGAGAAGGGTTTACCCGACATGATGTGCCAAAAGGAACGGCTATATATAATTATTTTATATTCCAATGAAGACTTCTGGCAGATCAATTGTATGCAGTGATCTTGCGGAGCACTCCGAATGTTGATCTGCATTACAATTGAGAGATGCTGCCGGACGATTTCATTCCAAGACACTTCCATACGACATTGAAGGCAATGAAGGCCGTGGTCCAACGTGGCATGTGATTCACGCCCTCATAGTCTGGAAACACGGGTCATAGGCAGAAGTCGTCTACGAATAACGGCTGTTTTCAACTCACGTTGGGTGGCCAAGCTGAGGGGACATCCCTGCCATCTCAATCCTTATCTATTTCAGACTAAGGAAGAATTACTCGCAAACTTGGTGAAACTTTCCCGCCATGACCGTCCGCTAACCAAATAGAGCCATCTGGAATTATGTGCGTCCCACGCAATGCACGGTATAGTGACTGATGACGCATTTGGCCAGCGGGGGACCCAACCTTTTGAAGAAGCCCGTCATCCCGGAGGGAGGTAGCATTACCACGAACGGAAACGAACGTGACCACTTGAATGGCAAAAGCTTCACCTTCTGAGACCATGACGGTCGTATCTGTAAACTTCGATGCAAGGCATTGAAATGTGGCGTAAATACCATTGCCCGCACCGAGCCATGACATTTCAATGCAAAAAGTTTTATGTACTCAGAGTTCAGATCGAATTTGAAGGCATTGCAATTACGAATGTACGTTTTTTGATGCATGAAGTTAAGTACCATCTTTTGTCAAAAGGGAAACTAAGAATCCTTTTTCCTATCCACAGTCATGTTGAGGCGTTCCTATTCGTCATGTGTAACAAGCACACTGCTGTTCTGTGAACGATGAGTAAACCTCTCCCACACCCGTGGTATCCTCTTTTAGGCCAGTGAGTTGGGCATGTAGCTCGACCTGGCACCGCTTCGCGAGCGAATCCTCTGTTTTGTTTACGTTTGTGCTTGTGTTCATGCCTCCGTGTTATATCTGAACCATAGACTATTCTATATCAGTAGTCTATGGCTGAACCCATGCGCCGTGCTGTAGGAGAGAGGCAAGACGCCGTTGCTAATGTAAGATGTCACATTGCGCCGGTGTCGTATAGTAATGCGCTGATGTTGAATAAACCTCAGACTTCATCGACGTTGTTTGGAAACTGATGTGCCATCAGGCGACATGTTATCGGAGAAATGAATTCGGGGTACTACAGGGAACAATCATGGGGCCCATACCTGATTTATGTGCACATTGCTGCTGTGCACAATGCACATAAATCACAAAAGCATTTGAACGTTCATAGCAAATTGAAGATTTTGCAACGGTAGATAATCATACACATAACAATATTTGCACTACCTCATAAGTCATACACCCGCATTTTTTTTGCGGCACTAGTTCAAAACTTGGTAGTTGGTTTCGAAAAGTCGCATTTTAAAAATGAAAGCGTTTGTCGGTTTATCAGCTCTACCATCAGTATCGTGATAAAAATAAAAGCTACACGTATCGTGTCGGTTGCACCTGGAAGGAATTCTTGTAATACGGATCAATACAAAACAGGTTACACGTCCATAGAGTTCCAAACAACCGTTCATTCTTGTTTCATTTCATTGTTTCAAACACGCTTCAAAACTCCGAGACCACTGTTCGGTTTGTGTTTGTGCCCACGTGCGGTTCTTTTATTGTTCGCTATGTCTGAAACTTAAAGTAATTTTTATATACCCCACGACACGACGATGTATTCTATTTTGTAGGTGTATTAGGCGAACTTCTATAAGACAGCAGTAAATCTTAACCCGCGCGGGGCTGGGGGGAGGGTAAATTTTACCCCCCCTCGCGAATTTTGGCAATATCTCAAAAACGCGCCGCCAAACTTTCAGTACCTTTTCTTACATCAATTTGACACGTTCCCTGAAAATTTGAGCGAAATCCGTCGGAAATTTTTTGAGAAATTGACGTTTTAGTGACGTCATGTTCGCCATTTTCGCCTCAAAAACGGCAAAATTTCAAACGCCGCTAACATCTTCATTTTTAAAGGAATCAAGACGTAACAAAAAAGGTTATACGTAATTCTACTTTGTCTATCAAATGGTTATCTCGGTTTTTTGAAAATTTTGGATTTTGGCCTAAATTTTTTTTTTTCTTCAAAAAACTGACTTTTTTGGGAAAATAGTTATAAAATCCAAAATTTTGAATGTATAAAAAACGGTATATATGTCAGAGAGGTGGTCTATGTGCACCTACATACCAATTTTTAGAAGAATCGGTTCAAAAATGTGGGAGTTATTCAAAATTTTATGACGTCACGGCACACACAAAATTTGAAAAATGATTTTTTTTGGAAGTTCTAGACCTCGTACGGAAACAAAAATAGCACCATTCGATTCGCCGTGAAAAACTGCATCAGATAGACACCTTTTTAGGCCTTAACAACCAACTTCAAAATTTGACCTCACTTGACCTGACCTTGACCTGACCTCGACCTGAAATTCATCCAGAGGTGGTCCATATCACTTATTGAGTGTGCCTATTGAATTCTATGAGTAAAATGACCCATAAAACATGTGTCGCACACGCCCTTTTCTTTATTTTGTTTTTGGTGACCTGACCTGACCTGACCTGACCTTGACCTTGACCTCTGAATGATATTATATGCAACGAATATTGTCTTGGTAGCCTAAGAACACGTTTTGGGCAATCAGTCTCAGTCCATGACTCCATTCTTCGGCAACTACGGTGCAAGGCCGATACTGTAGAAACTTGCAATTTGTACCCTTGACCTGACCTTGACCTTGACCTCAAACTTTAAATTAAGTACATGTTTTTAGTTGTTCGTGATGAGATCTTTCGACTGGCGTTCGAATTTTCCAAATCCGACCATTAGTTCGGGAGATAACAGGGGGGTAAAATTTACCCCCCCCCCCCCCAGCCCCGCGCGTTCGGCTGGAGACCCCAGCCCCGCGCGGGTTAACCCGCGCCCTGCTGGGGGGGGTGTTTGAACACCCCCCCTTGTGGTTTTTCGCGAATATCTCAAAAACGGCGGCGCGGAGCGCCGCCGTTTTTGGTACACCTTATCATACATCAATTCTACACATATTGTGAAAATTTCAGACCAAGGTCATTCAAGGTCAGGTCACCAGGTCACTTGAAGTGACCTCACCTCATAAAAACTTTCAATGTCTGTCATAGCTACACCGAGTGACCGATCGCTTTGAAACTTTCAGCGATTGCTAAGAGCAATAGCATGTACAAAATGTATATCTCACAATTTTGATATCGATGACCTAAGGTCAGGCCAATTTTGCGACCTCCCCATTATAAGTCAATGGGAGAAAATTGAAATGCGCCTCTTTTGGATGAAAGACATTATAAACACTCCCAAACACCGAATTACAAGTGGTTTAGACACACTGAACTTGAAAATGGTGTCCGTGACCCTTGTTTATGCCCTGAGGTCATCTTAGGTCACGAATGCTAGCTAACAGTTTTTCGCAAATAACTTTTGATAGAGGCATGCTAGAGCGATGAAAACGCCTTAGATGTGTTCAGCTCGACGATACGGATCGACTGATATGCAACATGACCCTTTCCGGTCAGGTCATGACCTTGACCTGAGGTCAAATTTTCAAGTTGACCTTTCAAGGTCAAGTTATAGTTCATTCGATGCGTCTTGACGAGAGAAACACGATGCCGGTAAAAGTAAGCTCGTACAAGGCTTGGGTCAAAAGTTATTGCAGAAAAACCGTTTTCAAAAAAATCGGCTATTTTTGCAGTTTTTGCCCCCTGCAGGCAAAACCGTTGACGTTAGGTCAACTCTGAGATAATTACTCAGAAAGGGCGTTAATAGGGCTATCGAATGCGCTTTTCCGCGGCGCTGTAGCTCTATTGGTTCCCGAGTTATGCGTTGGCTTCTTGGAAACTTTCGACATTCGACCTGGAAATCGGCGAAATTTTGCCTTCAATGACCTCTGGTGACCTGACCTTTGACCTGACCAAAAAATTGACCGAAGTGATTTCGTCATTATTTTTTACGCTCTTTCGAACGCCGCTTTCCGCGTATCGCTACATGGCCCAGGAGCCGAGTTACAAGGGGGGGTGTTCAAACACCCCCCCCCCCAGCAGGGCGTGGAAATCCAGGACCCCCAGCAGGGCGCGGGTTAAGTAAGCTTTCCAATGCAAACTTCGATAAAATCACATCGAAAGAACTAATAAAATATAAAAAGCTGCTCAAACAAATGATATCTGCCTATATTGTGCTGTATACCTACCTATTGAAAATCTGACGAAGTTTTGGTTCAAACAAAAACAATGCAAGAAATATAACACGAGCGTCGATTCTTTATTTGTTTTTATTATAATCAAGCTTTCTAGGCCCACCACAGCGTAGACACCGCAGCAGAGACAGTCGCGCTGCTTTGAATTGGACATACAGTGGGGTCTTGGACTCTGAACTGTTGAATGGATGCCCGCCGGAAGGAAGAGGTGGAACGAACTGAATTGGTAAATGTAGGACATATTCAATGTTCATATGTAGATATTACTAAAAGCTCCGCCTCCGTAAGATCCATTGCAGTTCTTCGAAGTTCTGTTCAGTTTTGGAGAAGGAAATGTGCGTTTCTGAAAGCAAACGGTGGCACAGGTTTTATGCATACTTTTTATTTCAGTTCAGGGAGTTTTTCGGCCATATTTGTTGAAAGGAACCGTGTCCTGCAGCTCAATGTTGTGTCCCCCGTATCTGATATCGCTGAAGCTTTTGATGTCCAACTTTTCCTATCGGAGGGGGCTATATTGAGCAAACGTACTACAGTGGGTTCAAATATAAATAGTTACTCGGCATTCGGCTCAGCGAAGAGGAGGTTCTTAAAATTCTCCTTTGTGTCGGAGTAATGGATAGAAATAGTCATTCGTTCCCTATAGCTTCTACTGAATAACCAGCAGCATATACTTCCTTGCAAACAACATGAAGGTTGTTGAAACGCATTTTATGAGAATCGATGTTAAAATGCTTGCACCTCTTTCAGCAATATGGCAATGTTGAACGTTCATCGAAACGCGGGCGAAAGCTTAGCCAAACGATGCAGAGCGACAAAATAATTAAATATTCTACATTAGCATGACAAAACAGTACTGTCTTTGAAACATGTTTTTTTTCTGACCAAAGACTTGCAACTTGATTGAGGCAAATATAACTTCAAGCACCCATTTTCTTTTTTTTTTTACAAAAAAGGACTTTAGAGCATACATAAATGTGTGACAACTGTTCCATTGACTGTCTCAGCAGTCTTTGTAACCACTGACCAATAGTCACGGTAATTGCACATTAAACAATGCTAAACCCGAATATATCACATACCCTACAAATTCACTGCATCGAGACCCGGTAGTAGTCAGTCCGACCAGAATGGTCCACGTGGCGGTGTGTGTGGCGCGCGAGCCACCATGGCGACATTGATTTGAAGTGCTGTCCGCGCGGGTAGACCGGCAGTGGCTGGTCGGCAGGGGAGTGGTGGTGAACGCTGCCTCGGCGTAACGGGCTAGAGGAAGTTGGTACTGCACGGGTGCAGGAAGGCGCAACAGACGTGTCTGCTGTCCAAGATTGCTGGGTTAACGTAAGTGGACGCTGTACTCGGCGCAAGATAGGGGTGAGAGCAAGATGCTCTGAATATCGCCCGGCGAAACGGGACAAACCAGCCACGTTAGCTGTCGGAGACTTTGAGGCCAGTGGAATCTATGCTCTGAAATATTGAGGTCGTCCGCAGTCCCCGGTCTACAATAGACTGTCCATACTGTTGGCCACAGTAAAGGAGCCGACCAGAAACGGTTCCGAGCCAATCCAGCCAAATTGACTCGTCCATCTTCTCGCCTCGCCGAGTCGCCAAGAAACCACATATCGACCCAAAGTAACCAAAACAACCAAGACCTCAAGCCGAGCCGAACCCCCACCCTCCACTTCATGCTAGTTCAACACGAGGGTCCCACAGCGACCTAAAGTGACCCGAAACCCAGGTGAATAGACCCTAGTCCACAGCTTCAAACTAGGTTGCCGCAGAACAGTGGCAGGAACCCACACTCGACCCTATTCGACCGTTCCAGACTAGGTCGCCGTGACCCGAGGTGACCCGAGACCAAGTTGAGTCGACCCTAGTCGACCCTGCACCTCAGACTGGGTCTGTCTCCTCGTGAATCCCAGCGACCCAAAGTGACCCAAGACCAAGTTGAGTCGACCCTGCGGCCTGCACCTCAGACTGGTCGCCACGGAGGTCCCATACAGTGTCCCGCAGTAAGCAGGTCAAACCGAGTCGACCCGTCTTCATTCGCTTTAAACTCACGAGAAAGCCTTCCCGTGAGTCCAACAGCGACCCAAAGTGACCCGAGACTAAGTCGAGTCGACCCTAGCCGACCCCTCGCCTCAGACTGGGTCGCCGCGGGTCCCATTTTGTCCGGTCGGCCCCAGCGGTACGCCGCCGGGCGCGTACCGTCCGCCGTCCCTCCGCGGAAGATGACGGCAGTCCTGGACACAGCCCTGAGGGGTGAGTTTGGGTGGTAACAAGGTATATAAAAACACTGTAGATACTGTATGGGTGGTAAGACCGTAGAGTGGCAAGGGTCTGAATGACTGAATGTTTTTGGAATGGTCTGAATGTTTTTGGATACAATCGCTGGAAGGCAGTGAGACAACAAAGTTTGGAGCTTGGTCTAATTACGTGCATTCAGTGCAGAAAATACGCAGCTTGTATGTGTAGTTGATCATGGATAAATAAAACGCAGCGCTTGGGAGGTTTTTGACAGATTTACTTAAAACATTATTTGAAGAAGTGTATTCCTAAGTAAAGCATCAAGCCCTAATCTAACTGCCAACAGGCTTTCTTTTGACTCAGAGTTGATATCATAAAAAAGTGAACAATCGATAGAGCAGAATTGCTGTACTAAGCGTGCATGCTAGCTGCCTTGTAATTCAAGTCACTGACCTTCGGTGAACGCACGGTCCTATGTCGAACAGGTAGTTTAAGCTGACCTTTCGTTTGACCTTCGCCTGTCTAGAAATTGGGAAGTGACCAACTTCGAACAAACTCATACAAACTTGTACTCTCAGGAGCTTTGCAGTCAGTGATTAATTACATTTACCGATTTCCTGTTGAGAGAGACTTTGGTTTTGCTTGTTTATTTAGGTTTACTCAATACTCAAAGCCTATTTTATAGGCCTTTTCGGTGTAGGCAGTGTTGAAAATTGACATGCAAGGAATGCTGGGCGGCATTGGGCGCCCCCTATCTGAAGGTTGTTGGGTCCTAGTGAATTCGGAAGCATACCTAATGAGGGAAACAATTAATGAGAGCAAAGTTTGGAGAGGGATCGAGTGCATGCCGGGCACATATAACGACTGAGCAAAGAGCACTTCGTTGCGGGCGCCATCGCATCTCATAAACCACGTCAAATGCCGGTTATTCCAATCACATAAATTCGCCCTCGATATCACAAATGATGACCTCGACTGACCTCAAATGACCTCACAGTTCAAAACGGACGACGAGGATGAGATTCGAACTCACGCGGGGAGACCCCATTGGATTAGCAGTCCAACGCCTTAACCACTCGGCCACCTCGTCACATGTGGTATACAAATTCACCTAAAACGCTGCCAAACAGATGGCCCCATTTATAAACATTGCTACGTCACGCTCTGCTACGTTACGCTCCGTTCACCATCAATTCACTGAGCGTTTGCCGCTAAACAGAGCGGTCCCGAGAAGCGGAACAAAGTTGTATTATACTCCACCACCGGACCGCAGCAATTTGAATGTTAACTTTTTTGCAGTAGGTAGATTATTTCGCTGCAGTAGGTAAGCGTACCTATGCCAAATTTGTGTATATACGTAGCTACTCCTGCATTCCCAAATGGCTCGTTTGTGTAAGACGTTTAAAGGCTTTTTGTCAGTTTGATACTTTGAGTTTTCTTATATGAATGAAACTTCTTAGGTACTTCTTCATGCCGAGTTCACTCATTGAACAGAATTGACAGACGTCTCCCTAAAATGTTTCACACTGCCCTACCAATACCTGCCGCAATTAGTCTCTTCCCTCTGACAGGTGACAGGTAAGTAATATGACTGTTCCCCAAGCAGGTGCAACTGGTAACAGCTGTAACCCCCCCCCCCCTCCCCCAGGCAGGTGACATCTGGTAGCGGCGGGGAGCCGAGGATGTCTTCTTCCGCCGACATCACAGTGTGGAGGGCGCTCTCCCTGCTCATGGCAAGCCTGCTGCTCGTGGCTGGCGTGAGTCAGGTGAGCAACAAAAGTTTTTACGGACTGGAATTCCATTCGTGGTCTCTGTCTAAAATACGGCCATTGGTTCAATCTTGAATTGGTATAGAAGAAGAGAAAACTGCGATCTCTATAAGACAGGGCTGCTTCTAAGCATCACGCGTTTCGCAGGATTATCTCGTCTCGATCTAGTAACTATCACTCTTGCTCCCTCTCTCTCTCTCTCTCTCTCTCTCTCTCTCTCTCTCTCTCTCTCTCTCTCTCTCTCTCTCTCTCTCTCCCAGCCCCTCCCTTCCGTTACTGCCTAATAATGCCATCCGTGTTCTAGGAAATGACAATACTCAACACCTGTAGGCTAATCCCCCCCTTCTCTCCGCCCGGGGAGGGGAGAAGACGCGTCAATCACTTCCTCCCACGCACCTCCTCCTGGAAAACCCTGGAGTCTGGTCGATCCCCCATTGCTGCAAACAAGGCAACAAGTTCGATCGATTCGGCAACAACCCAGAAGATGGACAGCTCGAGGGTCTGTGATTACCGACAATAGCTCGCCTAAGTGCCAATAATAAGTGCTAAGTGCTAATACCGACTTCTGGCTGAATATAGCCGGCTGTGGGCACCTGGGTAGTAGCAAAAGTTGTAGGGCAAGTGCCGGCGGAACTTAAAACAACGGCGGGAACAGGGGAAGAGAAATGCCAGACGACGGCGGGCAGTCTCTTATTGGTTCGGGGAATGGTATTTTTACGGGTTCCACGAATTCGGTACTAAGGGAGGATGGCTTTTCGTATGAAGCTTGTAGAGCGATGGAATGTTACTTGGTTTGGTTCTTTCACCAAATAGCGCGGCGCGGATTAACCCTCGCATGTGTAGGGGGGGGGGGGTCGGATGGACCCCCCCATGGTTTTTCGCGAATAACTCGCGTAAAAAGCGGCTGATCGCGACGAAACTTTCAGTACCCTCGCATTGATCAATTTTACACCTACCCTGAAAATTTCATGACCCTGACCCAAATGACCTTTGACCTGTGACCTCTTTTCCGAGACCATGTTTGGCCGGAATCGCGATTTCGCGTATGTCGGCTCGCACTAGCCGCGTGTTTGCAAGCTTTTCGTGGTTTCAAACGTTCAAACATGTGATTTGATGTTACTCCCGTGTGTGTCAAGGTCACCTGAAGGTCAGGTCAGGTCATTGACCTTTGGTGACCTCGGGTGACCTCGGGTCACTTTTTCGAGTTTTACATGTTTCTAGGCTAGTTTTTGGAGCTGCATTCGAATTTAGCAACCATTTGAACATTTACGAAGTAGTTTTGGTGACTTCGTAACATGTTACGAAGCCGTCAGAGGCGGTTGACACGTACTACGAATACCCGTCACGACGCCTACTGGTTGACCTGACCTGACCTGACCCGACCTGGTCTAAATGCTTCAAGACATCATCTGTGATCAAAACTAACACGATATTCGTGATCAGCACCCCGAAAACCCCTTAGCAGCCACACTTTACGACTTTCTAACAGGTCCCGATTTTCCCGACTTTGGGTCATTGACCTGACCTGGAAGGTCAACCAATGACCTAGGACCTTAAAATTGGGTATCATCGGCTTCCTCTCGTCACGGGCAACACGCTCGTTTTTTCCGCGAAGCTCTAGCTCGATCAGGGGCCAAACGGCAAGGGGGGGGTCCAACCGACCCCCCCTACACATTAGAAGCTGGCAAACGCCGCACACATGCGAGGGTTAATTGAAACATGTTCATGCGATCGGTGACGTAACTTGTTAAGTTGCATACTGTTAGTGCTAAGCTTCAGTAATCTTATAAAATAAGAAAGTGACTGAAATTTCCGTTTTCAGGTCATGACCAAAGGCCAGTTTAATATCCTCGGGACTTAATAAAGCAATAATTATTATCAACTCTATGAAACTGATAAAACTCTGCAGGAGAACATGGCTGAAATAAATAAAAAAGTGCACGTCAAAGTCAAAATCAAACTCAAAATCAGCCCAGCTCCAGGCTCCAGCTCGGCATGGTGCTTGTGCAAATTTCCATAACTATTTGACATAGTAGAAGCTCTATACTCGTAGTCTCTCCCCACAAAATTAAGCTCGTACTCGTACCTAAGCACATCGATACATTATCGGCACTCCCTGTTGCATTTTTTCTTTGGTCTCAACCTGCATGGTCGGGCCGGACCATCTCATATGCTTCATGCTTGGACGCCGTCTACTCGAACTCACAAGATCCGCATGTGTTTCTGTTTCAGATCGGCTCGGACCATCCCTGTATGTGGGTGCCAGTTTACACAGTGCCCGCCGTTCTGTGCTTCGCCGTTGCCATCAAACTGGAGTTCGCAGGTCTGTCAATATGCAAATTATGATGCTCTGCTTCATCAAATGACGCATCTTATCAACATGGGTATACAAAACAAAAATGATCTTTGTAGTCGAAGCGCACTAAATCACCGATTGGTAACCAGTAACCACTATAAAGTATGCCCAGAGTGTGTGCCTTGCCGTACACTTATATCTAGCCGTATTCATTCTATGCCCCATGCAGGGTGCCTGTCAATCTAATCTACTACTTTCGATTCGTCGCACTAATTTTTCGTTGCATTTAGGGAGTCTGCTTGTAAATATCTTTCTTGTTTTCCGTTGTTTTCATAATTCAGGGTGCCTATTTCTGAAAATTGTATTTATTTTCCGTGTCACCTGCAGGGTGCCTGCCGTGGCGCGTATGCTACCTGGTGCACACGGGGTGCTCGCTGGCCCTTTTGGTGCTGGTGCTGGTGCAGACTCTGCGCGCCGCCTACCGGAGCCGTACGGAACTACGGCACCAACCGCTGGTGGCGCTGCAGGCGCACCAGCTATCCGATAGTGCCAGGTGAGAGAGAGAGAGAGAGAGAGAGAGAGAGAGAGAGAGAGAGAGAGAGAGAGAGAGAGAGAGAGAGAGAGAGAGAGAGAGAGAGAGAGAGAGAGAGAGAGAGAGAGAGAGAGAGAGAGAGAGAGAGAGAGAGAGAGAGAGGGAGAGCGAGAGCGAGAGAGCGAGAGAGCGAGAGAGCGAGAGAGCGAGAGAGTGAGAGTGAGTGAGGAGGGATAAAGATGGGGAGGGGGGGGGGGGTGGCATACAAAATTTAATGGACGCACCAAAGCCGGAGACTAACGACCACCAATCGACACCACAAAAGGGCAAAAAATAAAGTCAAATAAATCTATTTTTACAGATTAAGTCTTAACTCTTAACGAACACAATCGATTAATATATCCAGCGTAAGTAAAGTGGAAGCATATTTTGTATTGTTGACGTAATTACTTATGACTCGTATTTGTGAATGTGCTTAATCTCCTATATGCCCTTCGACATCTTATAAACGGCAACGACTCAGCAACGTGCTATTTCGACCACCGTTCCTACGTCTTATTACATATAGGTAATAGGAAGTTGACGGTATCCACTTCAATTTTCCAGGGACATGGCGGCGCTAATCATCACTTTGATCTGGATGAAGATGACCAAACACGTCTCCGACAGCCACGCAAGGTAAGCTGCAAAGCGATGGACTCATTACAGAGGAAGAGACATCGCCCAAGAGTTTTTTTTTTCCGTAAGCCAAAAGCGAACGAGCAGTTACGCATTGCAGTCATAAGCTAAAGGACTACGTCCATTTTAAGCCTCTGTCCATTTTAAGCGGAGCCTTTGTACATTTTAAGTCTCTGTCCATACTTGATTATTAGAGGTATGTAGTAGGTATGACTTATATAGTAAAACTCATGCGAACTGCGTAGCTATATTTCAGCGATTTTAACCCCCACGATAGTGTACGTATAGTTAGAGTACCTAGAGTTAGTCGCTACCACCGACTAAATAAAAACCATTCAGCCAAAGTCTGGCAACCTACGAATGCAACAAGCACGGGGATAATCGCAAATCCCGATGGAAAGGCCGATTCATTGAATTTCGAAATATGGAAAATTTGGCATCCCAGTGGGATGAATTCTGTATATTTAACGATGTTCAACTTATAATTAACTTTTTTCTATTCTGGTTGACAGGCTGGTGCTGAGTCGTCATCAGACAAGTCGCCTTCTGCCGGGACTGCTAATTCTAGCACTGACGGTGCCTGGGCTACTGTGGCTCTCCTGCTAACAGGACCTGTTGTGGATCTCCTGCTAATAGGACCTGTTGTGGATCTCCTGCTAATAGGACCTGTTGTGGATCTCCTGCTAACAAACTCATCTCGTAAAGTCTTAGATCTGCTGCTAGCGGGGCCAGTCAAAGAGCTCCTGCAAGCAAGATCTGTTGTGAGTCTCCCGCTACCAGGCCCTGTTCTGGGGATCCTGTTGAGGATCTCCTGCTTACAAGGTCTGTGACTCTGTCCTTGAAGGCCTCTGCTAAATCTCCTGTTGCAGCTCTCCAGCGACGAATGGGCACTGTTGTACTCTTCTGTTTGGTCTCCTGTTGATAGCATATGTCGTGACTGCTGTTGTGGATCTCCTGGCAAGTTGGATCTGCCCGGATCTGCTCGGATCTGCTGGGACTTTTCTGCCGCCGTTGTCCATTACTGCTCAGAGGACCTGTGTGTGCCTTTTCATGTGACATGTGTGCAGTGTGTGCGCGTGTCATGTGTGTGTGTGTGTGTGTGTGTTCGTTATCGATCAATGAACTGTGGACATTATTGCGGAACCTTATCCAATTTTCTGGGTGCCAAAATGTATATTGTTTGCCTTTACTAGTATTGTGTTGCGTGCAAGATGTGTTAGTTCGGAAGTTGAAGCGTTGAGGCATTTCTTGCTTCGCTGATAATCCTTATGTTATACCGGAGTTCGAACTCGTACCATGCTTGTTTATTAAACGTCGCTTACCTACGTCTATGCACACTGCATACAGTCTATCTGTAAATAGATAGGTAGGTATAAATTATGATACCGTTTCTAAAATAATAATACAGTAGGTACCTATGTCGTGTTTTGTGTGCCTGTGTGCTACACGTTTTAGCATAAGCAGCATCCGATATTGCCAATGTCATGTGAATGTATTTGATCTTGCTCCAATCTATTAAGGTGGTTAAAGCCTGTTAGAGCTTCTTACAGGCAGACCAGCAGTGTACGGGTACCTATGTGCAGTGGTTTCCGCATGCGATAGGATGAGCGATAAACGATAAACGATAGTTATCGCTGTTAAGTAAATCGGTTATCGTTATCGTTTATCGCTAAATTTTCAAAATTATCGCTCATCGATCCACTTGTCGCAAGTAACAAAAATAGTGAACGATAAACGATAAAATGTAAAACGGGATGATGGAAAAATGGAAGACGATCGACAGTGGACCTATGCTGCGCGACAGTAGGTATGTGTGCCCAACCTGTTGCCGTCTGCTAAGTGTACAGATCTGTCAGACGGCCGACCGATGGTATAAATTTGCGCGGCGGACCGGGCATAGGTCAGTCACAGGGGGGGGGGGGGGTCCACTCCCGCATATCTGGGGGAGTGAACAAGTATATAGGTAAATGAACTTGCTCCAGAAAGTCAAACTCAGCATAAAAACTACGCCAACTTGGCTCAGGTTTCCGTCTTTGTACACTGTAAGTACCTACACTTATTTAAGCGGTATTTCTTATCGCTTTTGTTATCGCTGTTAAAAAACAATTATCGGTATCGTTTTGTCGTTTTATCGTTCGTTATCGCTGTTAAAAACAATTATCGTTATCGTCTTATCATTTTATCGCTATCCGCTGTTATTTTTTTTATTTTTTTATCGTTTTCATTTATCGTTATCGCAAACCTTTCTTATCGTTTTATCGTTATCGTAGGTCCGAAAATAAGTTATCGCGTAAAGCACTGCCTATGTGGTATGCAATGTGCAAATGCAATATGCGAGGAGCTTCGGCTCACTGCAGACACCAGTGCATTAGGTAGGTAATAGGTACCTATTGTTGTTGTGACGTGATTCACGTGAGTCTCGGGCTTGAACGTTTTATGTAACATTGTGCGCATTGAAGATGGAATCCCATCTCTCGTGGCTGCGTCCTTGAAGTAGGTACATCTACGCCCTATTGGTATGTACATACTTCGCAGCCCGAGAGACAGGTGACGGACGGAGGAAGAGGATGAGGAAATTGTCACCTACGCTACTATTGACACACGAACCAGTCCCTGGAGGTGGCGGGGTGGTTGGTGGGGATTCGACGCTGTCAGGATGGTTGGGGTAGCCAATGGCGCTAGCTGTCACGTCCGTCGCTCTCGGGGCGCGAGCGACGACTGGCGGGTAGCGCCGCGCACAACGCATGCGCGTCGTCGTGCCGTCAGCTGATAGTGCGTGAGCGAACGTTACCTTTAACAATCATATAACTAACGTTATCTTATGTTAACTTCTGTAACGTTTCCCCGCTCCCTTTACCTCAATCTCTCGTTGTCACCGTTGGCTGTTGATCGGCCTCCCATCTCTCGTGGCTGCGTCCTTGAAGTAGGTACATCTACGCCAATGGGTGAACGCTCCGGAGGAGCGACCCGTGACGTTGCTACAGCATGACCCGTGACGTTGCAACGGCGTGATACACACGAACTGTTGTCGGGGTGTGCATTTCGGAGGAGTGACCCTTTGACAGACGGCGCGGTATTGCAACAGTATGCAACAGGATGCGGCGCGGTGCGCCCCGGAGCACCAACTCCGCGGTCAGGTGGCGTGAAACAACAGCATACCACACTCGCGCTGTATGTGCGGGTGTGCGTTCCGAAGGAGCGCACCTAACCACACCGTGATTGCGATTGCGACTGTGACGCTGCAACAGCGTACTACGCACGATCCACGAACAACAGGGTGGGCGTTCCGAGAAGAAAAAAAACAGGGGCGCCCTAACCAGACGGTGTGTGACCAGTGACGAACACGCAGCAGTGGGTGCCGCAGTGATGGCAGGACTTCCATCGCGGGGAGTGTTGGCCAGTCGTGTGAGGTCACCTGTGTCGTGCAGATGTCTCGTTCTGCCGCCACGTCCGTCGCTCTTGGGTGGACAAGGTAGCGAGGGTGTCCGGCCCGGGCTGGCCGACCCTGCGCCAGGCAGTTTGAAATGTACTGATTGCGAGACTGCATCGAAGGTGTCCAGTCCGTTCGAATGACCGACCTTGCGACGGGCAGTGCGAGGTGGTAAGCATGCAACACTGCAGCGAGGGTGTCCGGCCCGGGCTGGCCGACCCTGCGCCGGGCAGTTTGAAATGTACTGATTGTGAGACTGCATCGAAAGTGTCCAGTCCGTCCGAATGACTGACCTTGCGACGGGCAGTGCGAGGTTGTAAGCATGCAACACTGTAGTGAGGGTGGCCAGCCCGGGCTGGCCGACCCTGCGCCGGGCGGTGTGAAATATACTGATTGTGAGACTGCATCGAAGGTGTCCAGTCCGTTCGAATGACCGACCTTGCGACGGGCAGTGCGAGGTTGTAAGCATGCAACACTGCAGCGAGGGTGTCCGGCCCGGGCTAGCCGACCCTGCGCCGGGCAGTTTGAAATATACTGATTGCGAGACTGCATCGAAGGTGTCCAGTCCGTTTCAATGACTGACCTTGCGACGGGCTGTGCGAACTTGCAATCGTGCAACACTGCAGCGAGGGTGTCCGGCCCAGGACGAGCCGACCCTGCGCCGGGCAGTGTGAAATTTACTGATTGTGAGACTGCATCGAAGGTGTCCAGTCCGTTCGAATGACCGACCTTGCGACGGGCAGTGCGAGGTTGTATGCATGCAACACTGCAGCGAGGGTGTCCGGCCCGGGCTGGCCGACCCTGCGCCGGGCAGTTTGAAATGTGGGACTGCATCGTCATCGAAGGCGTCCAGTCCGTTCGAATGACCGACCTGCGACGGGCAGTGCGAGGTTGTAAGCATGCAACACTGCAGCGAGGGTGTCCGACCCGGGCTGGCCGACCCTGCGCCGGGCAGTGTGAAATTTACTTATTGCGAGACTGCATCGAAGGTGTCCAGTCCGTTCGAATGACCGACCTTGCGACGGGCAGTGCGAGGTTGTAAGCATGCAACACTGCAGCGAGGGTGTCCGACCCGGGCTGGCCGACCCTGCGCCGGGCAGTGTGAAATTTACTTATTGCGAGACTGCATCGAAGGTGTCCAGTCCGTTCGAATGACTGACCTTGCGACGGGCAGTGCGAGGTGGTAAGCATGCAACACTGCAGCGAGGGTGTCCGACCCGGGCTGGCCGACCCTGCGCCGGGCAGTGTGAAATTTACTTATTGCGAGACTGCATCGAAGGTGTCCAGTCCGTTCGAATGACCGACCTTGCGACGGGCAGTGCGAGGTTGTAAGCATGCAACACTGCAGCGAGGGTGTCCGACCCGGGCTGGCCGACCCTGCGCCGGGCAGTGTGAAATTTACTTATTGCGAGACTGCATCGAAGGTGTCCAGTCCGTTCGAATGACTGACCTTGCGACGGGCAGTGCGAGGTGGTAAGCATGCAACACTGCAGCGAGGGTGTCCGACCCGGGCTGGCCGACCCTGCGCCGGGCAGTGTGAAATTTACTGATTGCGAGACTGCATCGAAGGTGTCCAGTCCGTTCGAATGACTGACCTTGCGACGGGCAGTGCGAGGTGGTAAGCATGCAACACTGCAGCGAGGGTGTCCGACCCGGGCTGGCCGACCCTGCGCCGGGCAGTGTGAAATTTACTGATTGCGAGACTGCATCGAAGGTGTCCAGTCCGTTCGAATGACCGACCTTGCGACGGGCAGTGCGAGGTTGTAAGCATGCAACACTGCAGCGAGGGTGTCCGGCCCGGGCTGGCCGACCCTGCGCCGGGCAGTGTGAAATTTACTGATTGCGAGACTGCATCGAAGGTGTCCAGTCCGTTCGAATGACCGACCTTGCGACGGGCAGTGCGAGGTTGTAAGCATGCAACACTGCAGCGAGGGTGTCCGGCCCGGGCTGGCCGACCCTGCGCCGGGCAGTTTGAAATATACTGATTGCGAGACTGCATCGAAGGTGTCCAGTCCGTTTCAATGACTGACCTTGCGACGGGCAGTGCGAACTTGCAATCGTGCAACACTGCAGCGAGGGTGTCCGGCCCAGGACGAGCCGACCCTACGCCGGGCAGCGGGAAATGTACTGATTGTGAGACTGCATCGAAGGTGTCCAGTCCGTTCGAATGACCGACCTTGCGACGGGCAGTGCGAGGTTGTAAGCATGCAATGTTACGGGCGGCTGTGACCGCCCGTTGTGGCATGCCTGGCGCCGCCCGTGGCGCCTCCCCGGCTGGCCGCGCCCGGCGCCGCCCCTGCCGCGTGGCCCTCGGGCGGGGTCGAGGGCTGGCGCTGGCTGGGCGGTCGGCGGCCCGAGAGAGGCAGGGAGACCGTGGTTACGAGCGGTTGGCTCTGTGGTTCTTGTTTGGGCCTCTGCCGATAATACAGTAAAGCATCGAGTCTGAGTGTGTTCAGCTCCCGCAACATTTGGCGCGGTCGGTAGGACTGCAGAAGACGACAAAGGGTGAGTTCATTAATTTCATTTGATGATATTTATTGAAATTTAGTTCATGAATGTTGATTATCGTAACTAGTCTGTGCTCGACAAAAAGCGGGCGGTTTGCTCAAAAATAGAACGCCGATATTTTCTGTTCTGAGGGGAACGTTAGGAATAAGGCGGTCCGCCTGGGTGCAGTTTTGAATAATTTGGTGAATTGTTTCCGCTGGCCATGGATTTCAACGACACTATTTTGGTATCGCGAACCCCTCGTTTTGCGGGTATAGAGACAGATGATTGGGAGCGGTGGATATCTCGTTTCGAGTCGTTAACGGTGGGACTCGGAGACGTTGAGCGAGTTAAGCGGCTGTTGCCTCTGCTGGATGGCGTCGCACTCGATTATGCGCATTCGCTGTATCAGGGTGACAGTTCGTACTCTGAGATAAAGTCAGGACTTGGGGTCCGGTTTGGTCGGTTAATCGAGCCCTTACAGGCGCAGGCCGAGCTGGGGCGCGCCTCCCAGTCGCCGGGGGAATCAGCTGAGAGCTTCGCTGACCGTATTAAGAGACTGGGGCGGGCTGCGTTCCCTCATTCTACCGGTCC